AAAATGGACCTCACCTGGCTCTTCCTCCAGCTGCCTCTCCTCTGAAATTTCTTACTGCAGAGAACGTCACCGCCGCTTTACTTCAGGGTTCGGCAAGGTCCCCTGCCCCCAGCTCTTCCTTTCCTCCATCTCCTCAGTTACCAGGTCCTCAAGACTGCACTTGGCCCGCACCCACAGCCGCGCCTGCCCCTTCCTCTTCCTCGTTAGTTCCCGATGGTTCCCCTCCTCACATCTCTTGCTGACCGGACCCCTGCACGTGTCTCCACTGGCTGTGCTCGCCCGCGTTGTGCGCCAGGGCGGGCTGCTGGGGCTTGACTCCCGCCCGCCACAGAGGGCTGTGCGCCTGCAGCCAGGTGAGCTTTGTGCGGATGTGCAATCTCGATACCTAAATTTATGTAAGTCACTTCAGTTAATTTCACTTAATCCTCTCAGTAAGCCCGTGGCATTAGGGTTATTACTGGGACGGGCGCTGAAGCTCTGGAAGGTTTAGCTAAGCTCATGCAGCTGGAGAACGGGGGACGAGGACCTCACACAGGGTCTGTCTGACTCCAGTGCCGTGTTCTTGACCATCACACTCCTTCTGTAGCTTATGGCGGGTCATAGGAGCCCCCCAAGGTTTGAGACAAGTATTCATAAAATGGTCACATATTCCAGCAACACACCTACCCAAGAGCGGTTGACATCCTGCTGGGGTCTGTTTCCAGGCCTGGTACTAATTGTCGCTATAAACAGGAAAGGGTTTACGAGTCAAAGAGGGCATTTTTGACACAGTGCTCTGAACTTCCCAGGTTTTGACAGGTCGAAGAACAAGATAAATTCCTGGGATGAAAGTAGGCTTCATGTAAGCAATGACAGCAAATTATAGTTAATATAGTTTATACAGTAGTTGACAATAGTTTTATACAATATAAAAGTTTTGAATAAAATGCAACAACCTTACTGCATTCTCTTCCAAGGCTACAGGGATGTGTTATGCTTTTGTGAGTTTAGAAAAGTTAAGGAACAGCCAGAGCACTTGGGAGTTCTACTGACTTTAAAAGCCATGGCGCCATAGGAGGCTGTGGTGATAAAAGAAGACAGCAAAATGACGAGGATGTGCCCGAGTTACCGCCCAATTCAAAAACTGCTGTCTTTTCTTGGTCACTGTAGGCATCACCTTTTTTTTACCCTAGAGTGGAGAACATTCCTCTTTCGGTGACTACACCACATACTTCCTCTTAGAGCAACTAAAGGCACAGACTAAGGTCATGCCAGCACTCTGGTACAAAAGAAAACCAGCAAATGTCCCAAAGATACCACTTCCTTCTTGAAAGATGTATTCCTGACAGAGAAATAACAAACACTCAAGATGTAACAGGAAATATTAACAATTGAATAAAGGAAGAACACATGAATTCTATCCACAGGTGACCATTTTAAATTTGAGTAACAATCTGGAAAAGGAATACTATCAAAGGAATAGTTAGGTGGGACATGATGGCCCCTCTCTACCAGGAATGTGGTGCACAGAGAATTTCCATCAGAGTCAATGAAAGAGGTAGAGAAAAATGAATGGCATCTACTCCATGACAACTCCATGAACTCAGCAGCAGAAAAACCTGCTTGAAGAATGGTGAACACAACTTTGTTCGCTGTATGTGTTCAGTCACTGAATGTTTTGACCCCATACCCAGTCAATTATGCTTTTAATTGGTGCAGACTCAGGGCTGTCACCAACGGAGTCCAGTGCACAGGCTGCAGAAAGGTCTGTGGGGCCTGGGGGAGATCAGATGTCACAATCAGTGGCCCATGGACTCTGATCAGTCACGTAGATTGTGTTTTATTAATTTCAGCTAATGCTTAAAAATAAGTAGGTTTCAGATGAAAACTGCCATTTCCACCTCATTCTAGAAATCCAGAAGACCTGGCAACATTGGGCCTGTGTTCTCGCAAGGCAACAATGGGATGAGGCTCGGATGCATCTAACCCTTTTAGAAGGGGCATGCATGCTCTGCCTTGCCCCTTGTGGACTGACGGCCCCAGCCCCAGTTATGCTGAAGCCCTAATTCCCCAATGTGACTGTATTTGGACATTGGGCCTTTAAGGACACAATTAAGGTAAAGAGGTCCCAGGGTGGGTCCTAATCCAAGGGGTCTGGTATCCTTGTAACAAGAGGAAGAGACAGCAAATCTCCCTCTCCCCCGACCCTCTCCTGTGTACACACAGAGGAGAGGTCATGGGAGGATACTGCAAGAAGGTGGCCATCTGTAAGCCAGGAAGAGAGCCCTCACCAGAAACCAACCCTGCTGGCACCTTTATCCTGCACCTCCAGCCTCCGGAATTGTGAGAAAGTAAACGTCTGTTTTTTAAGCCATTCAGCCTGCGGTATTTTGGTATAGAAGAAAGCCGACTAACACACAGCTCAGGCTTGGGACGCCAGAGTCATCGGAGAATCCCTCTCCTTGCCTAACTTCCACTTCCAGTCATCTGACCTCTTCCCCAAGCCCACACCCTCCCCACTCCTGCCACATGCTCTAGCTTGGACCCCACAATCACTTGTCTGGACTGCTGCCTTCTAACTGGAACTTCCATCTTATCTCCATCTCATGCCGGTACCTCCTTAAAACCCAGCCATGGCACCTGAATGATGCTCCATCTAAAAATTAAAGCAGGACCATAACACTCTCGCCTCTAAGTTCCTCTTGTGACAGTGGCCCCCAGATTCTTGTGCTGTTGCTCTAGAATCATACAGGATGCTATGTCCGGTGCAGGAAAGAAAGCTCTGTCATCAGGATTGACCAGATGGGGGAGTCAGAGCACATCAAGGCACCATGGAGTAACGCAGACTGTATCAGCGCTATACGAGAGGCACAAACAGAATTCACAGGAACACAAGGAGTTAGACATTTATTCCCACTGGAAGACTCTGGCAAAGTTCCCTAGGGGACTAGCCTCAAACTAGCAGGCACAGAGTAAGGAAGGGCACTGGAGGCAGTGTGCCTTCCCTGAATATGAGTCATCTGTCCCCAAATGCCAGGCTTTCAGTGAACATTTCCAGAATAAATGAATGGAGTCAGTGAACAGAAATAAATGGCTATTAAACACAGTGGCAGCAGAAGGAAGCATCTGAGGATATTATTAATGGTCAATAAGTCATGCTTATGATTCAAAAAATTTCCGGCTAAACCTATTCTAAATCTTAACGAAACCAAGAACCTTTCTGTGCATAACTCAGATCTACACAAAATCTGATAAACAATCTCAGCCCAAAATTCAACAGTACGTGTTTTAGTACTGATATTTTTGGATGGCAGATACAATACACTCTCCCTGCCAAGTGTGAGTCATTTGATCCAGTGTCATTTCAGACACGATACTGATATATAAGCTCTATGAGGCTACGAGACGGTCTTTAAGGAGCACAGTCACTCAAAATGTATTATACGAAGTTGACTCTTTAGAGTTTCCCATTCCATTCTTTGGAACCTATCTCCACTTCTTTCAGAGATTCATAGTTTATTAATTTTTTATTATATATCAAGCATTTTCTGTTTCACATATCCTTTGTTTTTGAAGTTACGTTCAACTCTACAATCACATTAACACGTATTGTCACAATTCTAGACCTTATTTGTCTTATCCTTCTTTGTCGTTTCTTGAGTACAATTCTCCCCTTTTTGAGTTATTTTAATCTGATGCATATTTAAAAGTTTGTCTAGAGTAATTTCTAATTAATTTATTTCCAGAAAAATATGTGGGTAGGGGAATATTTTGGGCACCATACATATCCCGAAGATTTACCTTACCCTCACATACCAACAATGGTTTAACTATGTGTGAAGCTCTAAAATTACAATTCTGTATCCTCAGACCTCTGGAAACATCTGCTCCACCACATTCTAGAAGCTAGCACTGCAGAGGAGGCTCTGTTGCTGGTCAGTCCTCTTCCCTTCTGAGGTAACCCACATATTTATTTTTTGTTCTTTGTTTCTCCCTCCATATTTCCCTTTGCTTTAGAATTCAGATATCTCACCAGAATACAGCAGCTAGGTTTATGTTGTTTTACTTATCCATTCTTGCAGTGGGTGAGTCTCGTCCAACTCAGTATTTATTGTTCTCTAGATCTTAAGTTGTATTTATCTATAAACAGGCATCTTTCTAAAGTCACAGAATAGCTCCTTTCCCTGAGCACAGCAGAGCACAGACCTGAACAATTATTCTCACTTATGTGTCGCAGAGTTGGAATCAGAAGCCCACATCTTCTTACTATTTTGCCTTCGAATTTAAAAGGCAACAAGTGGCATCAAGAATTCATGTTTTTTTTTTTCCTTTCATTCCATAGCAGAGTGCATAGAAGTGTTTTCTGTTTGTTAATTCGTAGAGGCACATGTGATACTTGCTAAAGCTAAGCTGTGAGAAAACACTACCAGCAGAACAAGTAGCTAATTCTTGCCCACTCTCTTGCACGCAGCTGGGAACAGCTCCGGGGCCTGCCACTGTTGTGTTGCTGGCTCCGAAGAGAAACAAACATTCTGACAGCACCAGGGTTTCAAACTTCGACGTCAGAACACAAGTCCTGTCCTCCGCGGCTGAGCGATTTCTCAAGGGGCAACAACCCACACCTACAGACAGCTCAGCTGTCGTACTGAGACTGGCATAAAAGCTTCGTGGTCAAGCTAAAAGGCCTTACAAACCTCCTTTCATTCGTGCTCCTGAAACGAACTGCGGCACGACTGCGACGGTGGCGGGAAAGGAGGCCGACGTCCCCGCGGACCACACACTCTGCGTGGGAACCAGTCGCGCCGCGGGCGCTGCCCGGCGAGGCGCGCTCGCGGGCGGTAAGCGAGCAGCCCGCCACAGCCGCAGGGCGGGCACGAGCGAGACCGCGGGCTGCGGGTTCTCAGCGAAGGCACCGAAGTCACCACTGCCAGGACAAGCCACCCTAGCGAGCTTAACGACCGGACTCACAGTATGTGGAACCGAGTTTAGCGCCCCCCGCCCCGCGCCCCGCCCCGACCTACCCAGCAGCAGCAGCCGGTGCGTCCGTTGCAGGTCGCGCTTCTGCTCGCGCAGCGCGCGGTCGATGCCGCGGCTGACCTTCCTCGCCTCCCGCGCGGCCTCCCGCTCCTCGGCGCGCGACTGCTCCGGGCGCCGCCGCTTCTCCTGCGGGTCCGCTCCCGGCCGCGCGCGCGCCGGGGTCCCACCGCCCCAAGGGAGCGGGGTCCGGGCCGGGGCCGGGGCCGGGGCGGGCGGCGCGTCCTGCTCGGGCGGCTCCGAGGCGGCGCAGGGCGCGTCCCCCGGGCCGCCGAAGAGCAGCGGCCGCAGGCTGTAGCACAGACCCATGTGGGCGCGGGGCTGCGCGGGGCACGGGGCGCGGGCGGCCGGGTCCTCGTGCCGGGCTCAGGCCGGCGCCTCCGCGGAGGGGCAGGAAGGGGCCGCGCTCGGACCCTGCGCAGCGCTACCGGCCGCCGGCTGCGGGGCGGGGCCGCGGCGGGCGCGGAACGAGGACCACCGCCCCTCACCGCCCCCGAGGGCCATTGTGCATTTCCGCTGGGCGCAGGGGGCGGCGGCCCCGGCGGCTGGAGATCACCTGATAACGCCGAGAACCGGCCGAGCCCACGGGTCTCCGCGAGCCGGGCCCGGGTTACCGTAAATGCCTCCGGCGGACCAGCCCTCACTACCGTAAATACCGCCGCCCGCGCTAGCGTTCGCTACCGTAAATACTGCCGCCCTGGCCGGTCCCGGCTACCGTAAATGCCGCCGCGCATGCGACTCTCTGCTACCGTAAATACCGCCGTCCGAGCCTGGCGCGCAACTGCAATCAGTGCCGCAGTGGCCGGGCCGTCACTACCTGCAGCTGCTGTTGGGGCAATTGGGAAACCACTGCGGGCCCGGCGCGGTGGCTCACGCCTCTAATCCTAGCGCTCTGGGAGGCCGAGGTGGGAGGACAGCTTGAGCTCAGGAGTTTGAGACCAACCTGGGCAAGACCTTGCGGACTTCCTCTGACCCTGAGCAGTGGTGGACGCCACTGCTGGATCGCGATGTCCTTTGACCCCTGTGTTTGACTAGAAGAGTTTCTCAAAGAGACAGATTTTGTCCTTTTTGTTTGTGTGTCCCTAGTGATAAGAATTGTCATTGTTCAATAAATATTGAATGAATGAACACGAATGAATGAGTGACTGTAATAGTTTCTTCTGAAACGGCCTTGGCCCAGGGGTGGTAAGGCCCGGTGACGCTGCCGAACAGAATTCAGAAACGGCTGCTTCTGCCTTTTGCCACATAGGCGGGCCTTGGGAGCGGGTCTCAGGCCACGGCTTCCCACAGTCCCCTCAGTGAGACGCGGTGACGGGCCGCCCTTCCGTCCATCTGTGCTCCGCCAGGGGGCCGGGTGAGTTGCCCTCTCACCTGGCTTGGCACGCCTCCTGCCCCTTGGTCGCCCCTGATCCACGGAGCTCTGAAGTCGTCACCCGCGGTGGGCTGGAACGCCAGGGCCCCGGCTGGCGTGCGTTTGCTTCAGGCGGCAGGAGCGCCGGCTGTCCCTGCACAAAGCGGGGGCCCTGCCGGCCTGGCCATTGCCGCGCAGACAGCGTCCCGCCCTTCAGCCTGGCTCTGCCTGCTTCCTGCCCCATGGCGACTCTCCTGCCTGCCTCGGCCACTGCCGCTCCTCACCCTAAGCACAGGGAGCCGATCCCGCCGCCAACACCCCCCGGTCCCTGGGCGGTAGGTCGCACGGCCAGGGTGGGCAGAGTGGGCACAGACGCGTGTGGCCTAAGAAGTCGTACCCGGCAGGGCCAGAGGCGCCAGGAGTGGGCTTCCCTAGAGGCAGGGCCCTGGGCACAGGCACAGGCTGGGAGAAGGCGGACAGAGAGAGGAACAGGGAAACCGAGTCTTGACTGCGAATCACTGAGTGACGCACCCCGAGAGGAAAGCCGGCTAAGGAAAGAAGGGGCCACAAAGTACCCGGGCGTGTGGACTGAAGGAGTCACACCAGAAGTGGACAGCACAGAAGGGGACAGGCCGGAAGTGGTGTCCGGAGCGGACGTGGACAGCAGAGGGTGTGCCGGGTCTCGGCCGAGGGCTCGACCAGGCTCAGCGGGAGATGGGCGCTGTGCTCGTCTTGGTCTGGTCCCGCGGAGCAGCGCAGGGCGGATGAGCTGTGCAGCGAGGCCGGGACAGTCAACGAGGCTGAACCCTCGACAGCTCGCAAGGATTCCCTTGCTTCTGAAAATCCAGGTAAGTCCTCGCATTCAGGCGTATTCTTTTTGAATAAAGGCCTGAACATTGATAGACCTCGTACCCCATCTATCTGCCAAGGCAGTGGAAAATTAAAGACAGACCTAGGTTTGATTCTCAGCTCTGCCGCATATTAACTGATTTATGTCATGTCCCTTCCCCTCCCTCAGCCTCACTTCCTTATTTGTACAATGAAGTGTGATGATACTGGTTTGAAGACGAAATAAGAAATCGCATGTGACATTCTACAGTGCCCGGGACGTGATAGGTGTGCAGCGTGATCATACTTATAATTAACCTTCCATCTTCAGTGTGAAGCCAGAGACTTTTTACGCGTGGCACACTGGTGACTGGTGTGGTAGTCCATTCTGCACTGCTATCAAGGAATACTGAGGCTGGGTAATTCATAACGAAAAGAGGTTTGTTTGGCTCCTGGTTCTGCAGGCTGTGCGAGAAGCGTGACGCCAGGATCTGCTTCCGGTGAGACCCCGGAAGCTTGAACGCAGGGGGCAAGGCAAAGTGGGAGTAGGCGTGTCACGTGGCAAGGGAAGGCGCAAGAGAGAGGAAGGGGGGGGCCAGGCTCTTTCAAACGCCCAGCTCTCGCGTGAACTAAGAGAGCGAGAACCCGCTGGTTACCCCAGACAGGGCACCAAGCCACTCATGAGGGGTCTGCCCCGTGACCCAACACCTCCCGGTAGGCCCCACCTCTAACGCTGGGGTCAGAGTTCACCATGAGATGCGGAGGGAAAAAAAACCAAAACAAGGCAACCGGCCCGGCAAAAAAAAGGAATTTCCTCAACCCCCCGGGAACAACCCCAGCCAATAAGAAGCCGCATCTGGTCTTTGTTCTTCTGCATCTCGGTTCACCTTCTCTTTCCTGGACGGCTCCCTTCTCCTGCGCTCGTTCTGCCTCTGCTGTCGTCACTCCTGGTCTCTCTCCGAGCTGTGTCCGGCCCAGTGTGGCCAGTGTGAGATGTCAGTGGCCGTCTGTGGCACACGTGCCCAGGATGAACCGTGGTTGAGGGCAGCGTCCTGCCAAAGGGCAGTTCGGAGCTCGTCCCGGCGCTAATTTCCCTGTCTGCCGCCGGTAGCAGGCGTCGTTCTCCAGGAAGAAAACGTTCACGCTCCATTTCTTTCCAAGACCTTCGCTAAACCTTTATTCTTACAAAACCTGAAAGCCCTTCAGCAGATTGATGGAGCATTTAGTCATTTTACAAGTCTTTTCTCAGATGGGCTCATGTAACTTGATGCTTTGTACCTTGGCAAATCAGTTATTAAAATTACAGGAAAAAAAAAAGAAAAGAATTGAAAGCAACACCAAGTATTTTCTCTGACTACAATGGAATAAAACTAGAAATCAAGCCGGGTGTGGTGCGCACCTGTAGTCCCAGCTACTCGGGAGGCAGAGGCAGGGGGATCGCTTGAGCCCAGGAGTGTGAGGTTGCTGTGAGCTAGGCTGACGCCACGGCACTCTAGCCTGGGCAAGAAGAGCGAGACTCTGTCTCTAAATAAATAAATAAATAAATAAGTATGAGATAGATACTCAGCGTAAAGATCACTTCCAGATCTTTTCCAATCGGAATTGAATTAAAGAGAGAATAGAGAAGGAGGAGGAGGAGGGAGGACGAGAGAAAAAGAGGACACACTGGTATCTTAACTCTTAAAAATCTTGAAAGCATATGTGTCATAGAAATTTTTACGGCTTGTCAAATGAAAATTTGTCGTCTTTTCAAATGAACAGAAGAAAGTGAAGATAACTGACTTTTTAAACTTTAGGCGGAAATTGGAAGGCAGTGAAAAAGATGATGAAGTATTAGAACAAATATTCCATTAAAAACAGTTGGCTAGTATGCGGTATTCAGGCCGTTCTGCTTAGCAGATTTCCGTGTCCTTTACAGAAACTCATGTAGATTCCTTAGTATAGTTGTCTTGGTCTGTTCTTGCTGCTATAACAAAATACCTAAGACTGAGTAATTTATAAACAACAGAAATTGCTTTCTCTTAGTCTGGAGCCTAGGAAGTCCAAGATCGAGTTGCTGGCAGGCTCGGTGTCTGGTGAGGGCTTGCACCTTGCTGCATCCTCACATGACAGAAGGTGGAAGGGCAAAAGGGCCTAGATAGTTCCTCCAGGCTTTTATTTTTATTTATTTTTTTAACGCTTGAAATTTAGCTTTTAATCATCTCAATCTCTTTTTTTAAATTTCAGAATATTATAGGGGTACAAATGATTTGATTACATGGATTGCTTTTGTACTGCTTGAGTCAAAGTTGTAAGTGTGCCTGTCACCCAGATACTGTACATTGTACCTGTTAGGTGTGATTTCACCCATCCCCTCCTCCCCTCCCACCTGCATGATTTCCACTTAATTTAGCTTCCATCTGTGCACATGAGTGCTGATTGGTTAGTTCCAATTTAATAGTCAGTACACATGGTGTTTTTTTTTTTCCATTCTTTAGATATTTCACTTAGGAGAATGGTCTCCAGTTCCATCCAGATTGTTGCAAAAGGTATTAATTCATTTTTTATGGCTGAGTAGTGCTCCATGGTATACATATACCACATTTTATTAATTTACTCATGATTTGATGGGCACTTGGGTTGATTCCACATTTTTGCAATTGTGAATTGTGCTGCAATAAACATTCTATTCTGAAGACTAAGTCTAGGCCTACTAATAAGGGCAAAGATGTTTTATAAAGAATTTAATGGATTGTTTACCTCTTGCTTCTACTCCCCCACCACCAAAAAAAAACCCCACCGAACTAACGTGTGGTTCACACTAGTTTGAGAAGCTTAAAACTCTTAAAACAAAATTCTCAAAACTGAATTCTCAAATTCTCTCCAGCAATATACTATTCCCCCCTGCAATTGTAGAATGTAACTTGGTTTAACAATTTATGCAACTTATTTCTATTACTATAGCTTTCTGGCTTATTTTCCCAATTCTAATACTAACAGAAAGGCTTGGTGCCATAAATATGTATTTTATCCTAACAGTTTACCATCTCACTGTGTATAGATTTTCTCTAGCAAATGAAGAGCCACAATTGTACTATAATAATTTTTTGAAGAAGAGTCGTAATAATTTCGAAATATGGTCTACAAACTA